ATTTGGAGCTTCATTATGCGGTACAGCCCCAGAAGACGAAGGCAATAAATGCCTTTGGAACAAACCCACAAATCTCTGATGATCAAGTAAAACCTGACCATCAGATTTCTTCATCTGGTCAAGCTTCCTCTTCATGTTTGTAGCATAGTCATGTGCGAGCCGGTGCAACTGTTTATTCTCATGCTTGAGCCCTCTAATCTCCTGTTTGAGACTCATCACTTCAGCCGCCAATGATTCAACTTGGTGGGTTCGAGCAAATAGGCGTTGGGTCATATTAGACACAGAACCTGCACACTGAGAGCCAGAGAATCCTTAATAGCCAACTCATCAGACCGTTTGGAAAGTAGTCTGTTATCTTTGGGAGTGAGAAGGTTCCTGGCCACTACCGCAGCGATCATATCATTCTTCATCACGGAATCCCCAACGGTAAGAGGACCAATAGGGGAGACGAAGGATGGGCGCCATATGTTGTCTGGAGAAGGCGGGGCTGCCTCTTCAACAAGGTTCAAGTCAAAACGACGGTCGGAGGGGCCAGAGATTTTCAAAGGTGTTAAAGAGAGAAGAGGTCGGACAAATCAAGATCTTAGAAGTGCAAGAATGGAGCTTCTACTGGTGGAGATTCAAGTGTGCTTTGGAACTTAATGCCAGCCCCTATAAAAATCTGCACTCGACGAAGCTTCAAAAATCGAAGAGGCGCCTGCTCAGAAATCGTAGAGGCGTTTGCTTTCTCAAAAGCTGGGCTGCTCAGAGACCACGAGGGTCGATCTCAGTAATCGAAGCGGCGTTTGCTTTCTCAAAAGCTGGGCTGCTCAAAGACCACGAAGGCCGATCTCAGAAATCGAAGAGGCTTGCTTTCTCAAAAGCTGGGCTGCTCAGAGACCACGAGGGCCGATCTCAGAAATCGAAGAGGCACATACTTTTCCAGCCTTGTCAGCACCTGTCACACGCACACTCAGCTTTGCAGAAATTATGAGCATTCTGTCGAAGATTTCTGGTGAAGTAGAAAGCACATGAATCGTACTGTTCAATCACCCACTTCCCACACGCAACAGTAGCTCATGGGTACCACAGATAACTTTGCCAAAGTTATCTGACAAAGTTGAGACACGTGAAGCTTGCAGCTCCCACTACATCGCTCTGACCAAGAAAGGTAAAAGAATAGCAAAGAAACAACACTAACAAAGTTTAGACACATAAATTTTGAAGGTCTAGCTACCATATTATTACCCACAAGGGTAAAGGAACAATACCACTGCTGGATAATTGGAAGGTCCCGGTGTGTCAACCTCTGTACTTCGTGGCAAGGTAGACTAGCAAACATGCCCAACCTTTACTCATATTCGAGAAAACACTCCCAACAAGATTGCTTGCTCCAAAATCGAAGAGGCACCGCCTTCCGAATTTCGAGAGCCAGACTCCCAACATGATTACTTTCTCAAAAATCGAAGAGAGGGTAAAGGAACAGTACCACTGCTGGATAATTGGAAAGTCCCTGTGTGTCAACCTCTGTGCTTCGTGGCTAGGTAGACTAGCAAACATGCCCAACCTTTACTCACATTCGAGAAAACACTCCCAATTCTCAAAAATTGAAGAGAGGGTAAAGGAACAGTACCACTGCTGGATAATTGGAAAGTCCCTGTGTGTCAACCTCTGCGCTTCGTGGCAATGTAGACTAGCAAACATGCCCAACCTTTACTCACATTCGAGAAAACACTCCCAACAAGATTGCTTGCTCCAAAACCGAAGAGGCACCACCCTTCGAATCTCGAGAGCCAGACTCCCAACATGATTACTTTCTCAAAAATCGAAGAGACACCGCTCTCCGAATCTCGAGAGCCAGACCCCAGCATGATTGCTTTCTCAAAAATCGAAGAGGCATCGTTCTCCGAATCTCGAGAGCCAGATCCCCGACAGGATTGCTTGTTCGAAAACCGAAGAGGCACTACTTTCCCAACTTCAAGAGCTAGATCTCCTTGGATAAAGCTTGTCTGTAATCTTCACACACAACATCAGCTTTCCAGATACCACAGACCACTTTTTCAAAGTGCTCTGACAGAGTTAAAACATGTGAAGCTGACAGCTCCCACTACCGTGCTATGACCAAGCAGGGTAAAGGAATAGCATTATTACTTGATGTTAGGGAGACTCCTATATATGTCGACCTCCATCCCCAACGGACAGGCAGACCTGCAAAAATGCTCAACACTTCCTCTTATCTGAGAGGGCATTCCCAACGAAGCCTTTCGAAATATTCAGCTTTCTTTCCCCCCGATAATACCTCTGCAAACAAGCTATACTAGAGCAAGAATATCTCATATTATCAGGGTTAAAAGCAAGAGTATCCCATATCATGCTTTTTCCCTGTCTTTTCCTTTGGCCTTGTTCTTACCTGCAAGACAAGGAGAAAGAGCAATCAGTCAGCACTTAGAATCAAGCTTCCAGCCAGGAACTGACTGCCTGGAACCCCTTACCTGATTACTTACCTGGCATTGCTCTCGAGTACTCATCTTCAACATCTTATGCTTCCAGGGAAGATACCGCATCTGCCTGAGGAACAGATAGGGCAAGTGAGAAGGATACAAAGAAGCATGTGGAGACAAGTGTAACAGCACACGTGCCGATACATCCACTACTCTGTCAAAAGCAAAAGTATCCCATATCAGCAGGGTCGAACGTACTCTAGATTTGATGGACTTGTTTTGACCCTCAAATTCTTCAGTCGGCCTTATACTCTGGAGGAAACCAGAAAACCCTCCAGCCCAGTTCAAGAATAAGCCTGTGGAAATTTACTTCTTCAAAAGCAAAAGTATCCCATATCATCTCTTCTTATTTTTCTTCTCTTTATCCTTCATGCTGCCTGCAAGATAGGGAGAATGTGAACAATCAGCCGGAGCTCTGATTGCTTACCTTGTCAGTCACCTCTTTCAGCATATCCCCTAGCTCGGCGACTTGGGGGACTCCTACTACATGGTTTGTATCGCGCTTGACCAAGCCTGAAACCACAAGTAAGCTTCAAGTGAAATTGATACATTACCTTGTGCATCTCCACCAGTTAAAGATACCACCCCTGGATGGAGGAAGAGTACTTCCAGAGAAGATGCCACATCTACCTATGAGACAGATAAGGCAAGTCAAGACGATACCACACTCCGGTACTTAGAAGTTTCGTGATTACGAGATCATTCTCCCACAATATTTCCTAATGTCATTTGTACTAAATCATTCACTTGTACTCACTAAAGGAGAGCTTGAACCTATGTACTTGTGTAAACCCTTCACAATTAATGAGAACTCCTCTATTCCGTGGACGTAGCCAATCTGGGTGAACCACGTACATCTTGTGTTTGCTTTCCTATCTCTATCCATTTATATACTTATCCACACTAATGACCGGAGCAATCTAGCGAAGATCACAAAAAGCGATCGTTTTCGCTACCTAGGACCTATCTTGCAAGAGAACGGAGAATTAGATGGAGATCTCAACCATAGAATACAAGCTGGATAGATGAAGTGTAAGAGTGCATCCGGCGTGTTGTGTGACCGTCGTAGGCCACTGAAGCTCAAGGGAAAATTTTATAGGACGGCAATAAGGCTAGCGATGTTGTATGGCACAGAATGTTGGGCGGTGAAGCATCAACACGTACACAAAATGGGTGTAGCGGAGATGAGGATGCTTCTTGGGATGTGTGGGCACACGAGAAAGGATAAGATTGGGAATGAGGATATCCGAGGTAAAGTAGGAGTAGTCGAAATTGAAGAAAATATGAGAGAAAATCGGTTCCGGTGGTTTGGACATGTGCAAAGAAGGCCTACTGACGCTCCGGTTTGAAAATGTGACTACGGGATAGAGGTTCAGGGCCGAAGGGGTAGAGGAAGACCTAGGAAAATTTTGGAAGAGACCCTAAGAAAAGACTTGAGTACTTGGATCTAACGGAGGACATGACACAAAACCGAGCGCAATGGCGTTCTAGGATTCATATAGCCGACCCCACTTAGTGGGAAAAGGCTTTGTTGTTGTTGTTGTTGTTGTTGTATTATATGTATTTGTGCGACTGTCTGGGTGCACTATGCAAGCATATATCTATTCTTCTATTCTATTAAGAGAAAAGGCCTTGTCAACTTTTTGCCCCCTTTTTTCTTATTTTGCCCTCACTTTTGATACACAATGTTGACATGAGGAAGGCAAAATAGTAATTTTGTATATTTTCTCCTTTTTCCTATTTTGCCCTCACTTTTGATACACAATTTTTACATAAGGAGGGCAAATAGTAATTTTGTATCAAAATATTTACATAAGATAAAAAATATGCACTTATTAAGAGAAATTGTCCCACCATCATTTTTTCATACAGGTAAGTGAAATCATGATGTTTTTTGGATAGTTTGAATGAACTGAAGTGATTGCACTTGAGGAGAACGTGGGAGGAGGTGGGCAATTGTTCACACACACAGATTGTGTGCTCATCTGCTAGTTACATCTGAACATAAGTCCAAGTAACCTGCATTTCATGCTACATACTTTCAACAAACTACAAAATTTGCTATTCATTAGATTGGACAGCTTCTATTCATTAGGTTGTGCCATGTGATTATGTTTTAGTGTAAGACCACATCTGTTTCTATATTCCAAGTTTTGTTTATGCTCTCCATGTTGTGGCCACCTTGTCCACTCCATTCGTAATTTAATTGTTTTATGCAATAAAATTTGTATCTTTTCAAACAAATAAAGTCAGTCTAGGTAACCAGCATGTCATGCTACATGCATAAAACTAAGAAATATTAGAATATAGAAAGGTAATTCTATCTAATACTGCCAATTAAAGAAGAGAAAAAGGGACTACAGTACAGATACCCATACAACCTTAGTTCAAGTGAACACATTCTAGACCACTTAAACTGAAATATAATTAGCTTTCATATGAGACAACTCCTTTTTTTTTGTAATTCTCTATTAACACTATATTCATTGGCAGAAAATCATCAAGCATATCATAGCATACCTCGCATTTAGGCAACTTGTATACTGGCATAGAAACCTAGCTGCACCTTCAATCGTCGCTGAGGAGTATAGTCCTTTTACACCTATGTGAAGCGACAGAGTAATAAGTAAACCTAATGTATTGTGACACAATTATTAAAATCTATGCTCATAGAATTAGCAAAATGAAGACAAGGCATTAGGTCATCTTATTTAAAAGGAATATATGACAGGGACACACAAGAAAGCAAACAAAATGAGATAATCACATATTCACCATCATGATATAGAAGATAAATAATACTTGCAAAGATTATGATAATCGAGACATAGGAGAATGACCTATAAAATTTATAATGAACCAGTAATACCTTATAAGATTATGATGCAAAAGGGTCAACTATCATGCTGAATTTTATTGGATGTCCCCGAGGGGACGGTCATACATACTGAATTAAGATGTAATATAAAATTCAAAAAGATAACAAACCAAATTCTTTGTGGTGCACAGGGTCATTTAGCCCTTCCATCAGTGGACCCAGAACAAAAGATCTAGGCACTGATTTTGCATGATTTCCATAATTCTTCCAATCAATGCCCAAAAATGACTGCATGATCAAGCATCTAACTGCATTATACACAGCGGGGAATTATGTCATGATAAATCTGTTGTATAAATTAAACAAGAACAAGTTATTCTGAGTAAAATAACACTCCCATGAAATGAAAAATGATGGGATGGTTGACATTCAAGTGACTGTTACCTTGAGGATTATCGTGATGAAAACCCCGTTCCCACAAAATTGCTAACCAACTAAAGCTTTCACCTGGGCTTTCGATCAGGTTTTGATGAAGTACTTCTCCACTGACAGAGCTTGCCACAATACCATTACTTTGTGTGGTAGAATATTGAAGCAACAGAGATATCTGGGAAACAGAATGTTGTTAACATTATTACCTCCCCATCAGTGCCAAAGTTCCAAACATCTACTTTACTTGTTCAGCAAGTAATTAGTTAAATTTATACAATACTGACATTTCACTATAATGATAACGGCAGCACGACAAACACATTCAGTTATTAACCATTTTTAAAACACACATACCTGGAAGTTCCAAGCTGCTTCAACCAAATGAGTGCCATACTCTTCTAGCATTTCATACAGCAGTACAAATGCCTCCCACTTCTGCCGGCTGTTCAGAAAAGACTCAACCGGGCTACACATTTTCCCAACACCCAATGACTTGGCTTCCTTATCAGCCCAAAGCTCCCTCTTTGTCATGCCACCACCGCTACCGCCACTGTCACCACGAGACTGATTTTCAGCCTCCGAAACACCACCGGAGAAGGACTGAGCTTGGCCAGACTCATTTATGCCCAGTGCTGTCTTGAGCATATGCAACGACTGCTTCCTCACCAAACTCTCCTTATGAACCTGAACAGTAAAACCCAAAATTTGAAACACCAATTCAATGCGTTTAAAGCAATAATCGATGAAGGTGCTAATGATAACGTGCGTACCAAGCCTCTTTTAATTCCGTCACAGTATTCATTTTCTGCTCTGGTATCAAATCCTTCGAGTTTATCAGCCATGGAGTCAGCTCTTCCACTTGGGTTCGGTCTGGTCTGAATGCAAAGAGTGAGAAGGTGACGACTGCCGCGAAAGGGAGGCGGAGAGAATTAGAGTGAAAGCTGTGGAGTTACAGTGAGGCAGCTTGACTTGAGAGGTGACTGAGAGGAAGAGAGACGACGGCGGCTTGAGAGAGAGTGAGATAGACAGAGTCGAATTGAAATTTGAAATGGGCCAAAAAACCGAATGGATGTCGGGTTAGGTCCTAATGGGTCCAATGGTTTGAAAGAAAAAAAAAACTAACGAATAGAGTTTAAAAATTTTAAGTTTTAATAATAAGGATAAACATAAAAGATAAAATGAATAGTATCAATATTGACTTTTTAGTGTAAAAATGTGGTTTTTGGTTAAAGTAAACTGTACTATGAGCTTTTCGTTAAAGTTTCCTTGAAAAAAACCTATTTCCTGTTTTTCATAGGCTGCATTTTTTTTTCTTTCAAAAAAAAAAATACTAGCTGGTGATTTCGCCGTGCCAATTCAGTTTAGAATGATGCTATAACATTATATGTTTTTTTAAAATGAATCTTAATATTTTTGAGAAATGGTAATTGTAGAATGCATTTTGAGAATTCCAAATTTGCAATTCTGAACAATAACTGACCAAGTTTTCTAGAGGGTTAAAATAAAATAACCAAAATAGAAAAACATCGATAAATAAATGTTTATAAATTGATTATTTCGATTAAATAAAAAAATTTCCAGCCGCAACTCGGTCTAGTGTGATAAAATAATAACTTCGTTAAATGCATAAGATAATAATTCTTCTTAAATTTCTTGAATCCCAACGAATATATAATATAGTAATTAGTGAAATACATAAAGGAATAGCACATAAAATTCATAACTCATATTAAGGAACTTTTTACTTAAAATATTAAGGCCTAGCATGGCCTTTATATTGAGGGGTTTTTAACTTGGGTCGAGAGGAACCGTCGTAGTTTTTGCCTACCCTTGTTGCAGATCTTAAAAGTGGCGCCATAGAAGGATGTGTGGTCGCCTAAATTAAGGCATGTCACTGATGCTGAATTGCGCTTTTGCAGAAATAACCCTAATATTAGAGCAACGTTGACGGCAAACACTTTGGCAGCCAACATGCCGACGGCTGTGGGTGCAAAAGCTGATGAAGGTGTAATTTGCTCATTTTGTGCTCAAGACTTATCACGATATTCCAATCATGATCATGAGTTTGCTGCTAAGCAAAGTTCCTTGTGGTCATGTCTACCACCAAACTTGCATGGTAAAAAGGCCCTTCATTTCCAATGGCTCGTTTGGATGTGTTTTTAAATTAACTTTTAAATAAAATGTTTTTAGGTTCCAAAAACACTTGAAGTGCTTTCTGCAAGAAGTACCAGTTATGTGCTTCTTCTAGAAAGCACTTTAAGTGCTTTTCCAAGATTTACTAACATTTTTACTAAGAATTGTTTTTAAAAATATTTTCACCAAAAACACTTTCAGTCATTTTAAAAACACATCCAGACAAGCTCTAACTCTCCCTCTCTAATAATCATCCCGATCAACCCAAATAACTAATAAATAAAGAGATAATTCTCTAGAGTTTATGTCCAATGCTTTAATCTTATTTAAGATATTCTTCTAAATTCAACTATTTAAATGGAATTTGTTTCTTTTTTAGATATCTTTTTTATTTTTTAAAGTCAAATTTGAGATGCTTTTGAACCTCTCGAATAATATAGATTGAGTAATTATTTTGTTGTTTTGAGAAAACTTAGCTCATTCACGAAGAAGTAGGCAAGCTAGTTTACACATTAGGTGTTGAACTGAACTGCTAATGCAACTTACTCTTTCCTCATATTCCAAGCAATTGAAAAGTTTCGATGAAACATTCACTATCTAAAAGGATTTATCTATCTAAATTATTTTTGGGCGTTTCTCATTCATCTGTTCTTATGCTTGTATTCGTATTTGTTCATGATGTCTGAATGATTTCCCATAAAACAAAAAAAAATTAAGGAACACTTTCGGTAATAAATGCTAAGAAATTATTTACATAGAAATTATATTCCATGTACATGAAATATCTTGAAATACTTTATCTTCTACATGAGTAAATTTTAAAAACATTTGATATTTTAGGGTTTTTTTTTTTTTTGAACAAACGATATTTTCTACAACGGGCTAGAAAAAATGTGATTTAAATTCGTTTTTGTCGAAAATCGAACCTAAGATGTCTGAAGAGGAATACTATTAAATCGTAGTATTAAATGACATCTTTTAGGTTTTATATTATTATGAAATTTGTTTGCGAATAAATTATATGGGATGTGATATCCACATACTTTTTTTTACTTTTCACACACCTCTTATTTGTCTTTCTTTAATTCATTTAATTCGACAATCAAAATTTAAAAAAAATATATGATAAGTAAAAAAGAGTGTGCGAATAGTACTTATTAAATTATTTCCACCCCAAGTGTTTCAAAATGTTTGGTTTCGTCTGCCCTTGCGCCACTTCCTAGTCACCAATTTACCAACTTTCCAAGAGGTACACACGATGGATTCCGTGTCAGCCTTTGTTCTCTTCCCGAAGTCCAAATTTTGGTACAGCCGAAAAACTCCCCACTTCACATCCCCACTCACTCACGGAGGAACACTGAACAAACATAACTCAGATATCTCCAGATCTCTCTCACTTCCTCGCAGTCACACAGACTCACGATGAATCACGCTTTGCTCATCTTTGTCATCACTCTAAGTACTAACCCCAACCCAACTTCTGTTTCTTTATCTGCTTCATTCTGTTTGGTTACCGGGAAAATGCTGAGAAAATGAGAAGGAAATTCGATATGAGTTGGATTGATCATTGTGTCTCAGTTGTACAACTAATTTTCTGACTTGGGTTTTCACTATTTGATCAATATAATATAACTTAAATGAATGATTAAGTTTTCAAACTCTCTAGTGATGGAGCAATCTTTAACCTTTTCTTTTTCAGGATTGCTCAAAATGGCAGTGGCTGATGAGGGTATTTGCCCTTCTACTTCAATGGTCGACTCGGGTTCGGACTTGAAGCATTTGTATTGGAAGGTCACCAATCCCACACTCTCTCCTTCACATCTTCAAGGTTGGTATGTAAAGATTCTGCATTTTGGTTAGAATTGTGTTTGGGTAGTTGTGAAGGTGGATTTTATTAGTGATGATTGTTTCAGATAGTGAAATTTTTAAGAAACAAAAACATACAGTGCTTCGGATATCCAGAGCTTTACGAGAATCTTGCTTTGCATTTTCCTATTGGGATTAAAGGCAATTTTTACAATCAGCTTTATATGTGGATGGCTAATTCTTTCTTCCACTTAGGTTTTTTTTTTCTTTTCGATTTTCCTTTTTCGTTACATTGTAAACCTTTGCCATTAAACCCTCCTCACCAAACATTCCAAGGTAAAATAGTTCATGCAGTTCATGGGATGCTTTGAGACTATGTAAGTGGCATTAGGTTTGCTGGATACCAGTTAAGAACATGAAATTAGCAATCAAACAGCTGGAGTCGTCGTGCTATTTATTCTTCTTGTGTTTGTGCTTCAGGTGGAAATTTCAAAGCATGTTGCAGCTAATTGAAATTTAAAAATTAGCTGAGGTTTATATGGTTTCTTTTCTTCTCAGACTTGCCAGGGTTCACACGCAGTGTTTACAAACAAGACCATGCTTTAATAACACCAGAGAGTCACGTCTTTAGTCCTTTACCTGACTGGTACTTCTAACTCTGCATTATACTAGTTAGAAGGGTTCTCCACTGCTGCTGTAATTTAGATTTACTCTTACAGGACTCTGACATTAGGAGCGTATTTGATAACGCCGGCCATGGGTTCACACTTTGTAATGTACCTGGCAAAGATGCAAGGTTAGATAATTGATACACTGTGCTATGGTCACTTGTTTTCATCAATTGCTGATATATATATATACACACACTTTACCAATGCGCAGAAAACTCACGATCTGGACTCCCCCCAAATGATGTTGAAAGGTGTGGGCATCTTCTTTTCCTCAATTTTCCGTTTGTACTATATGATAGCGAATTTCTTGTGTACTTTACAATGATTTATTAGCTTCAGGCATTTGATTTTCTTCATAAGTCTTTTGCTCTCTTTTTCCTACTAGGTTCATATTTGTGGTCCAGGGTGCTGTCACTCTCACTAATGTTTCTGGTACTAGCGACATATTAACGGTAAGAAAGCTCGATATATTTCAGTGTGAGATTTCTAGTTTTGGTGGATAATAAATTTGATACTCATTATCAGTTGGTACATATGTCGTCTAAACACGCACCCAAACACACACAAACACATATTATGCACTCATGCATTTTTTTTATTTCCTTAGTTTTTAGAAGTAGATTATGTTTTGATGTATGACCATCTTATTATCCCAACTTGAGCAATTCGTTTTTTGTGTTGGGATTTTTAAGTATAATGAAGGCTGCTAGAAGTCTGAATTCTGAAAATATAATTGAATTGTGTGACAGAGAGCACTGAAGTGTCATTTATCTGTTTATGTAGGACACATTATAATTTCAAGAGTACTATTAGGAAACATATAACATACTTTTATAGGTACAATGAACTATTTACGAGTAAGCATCCTTTGCATCGAGCAAGGACTCCAGACTATCTGATAGAAATGCTGCTTTGCTTCCAGTGCTTTTAGTAATGATGTTCGTAGTATTTTTCCTCTGTGGTAGAACAATTACAAATCTAATTATCTGTGATGTGGTGGTGTTCTTGTGAACTTAAGTAAAGGTGAAAAGAAGTCTGATTCCAATTATATGAAACACAGGTGGACTCATATGCTTATCTACCTCCGAATGTTGATCATTCCCTCAGGTGTGATGCATCTGCCACTCTTGTGGTATTCGAGAGAAGGTTATCTCCCTAATACATTATGATTGCTTGGATTTCCTGTTTTCTCATTCTTTTAACTCTTGTTATCATCGTGGAATGCTGAGCACTGGAGTGCACTCAAAATCACCATTACATGGCACTAATGCTTTCAAATGGAGCGAAAAACTTCGTTTGTCAATGACAGTTTTCTTGATAATGAAATGCTACTGAAACCAATGGTGTTTTCCTTAGAAGTTAATAATAGTACTCTTCAAATGGCTAAATGCTCTACAATGTTTCCATATAGGCATGATTCTCTGGAAAATCAAT